AAAGCTTTAGCTACGCTTTTGAGCCGTCTCAAACTAGAATTTAATGTTCTGGAATTGTTTGGAGAAAAAGCAGAGAATGTACCCTTATTACTAGATTTTGACCGCTCTTGAAATTTTTTTATAGCAGTTTATAGCTCAATTTTTTATTAACACCAGCCCTCAAGTAAAAGTTTCCGATTTTGTGTATGTAGTACGAAAAAGCACTAGAGGGATCGTGTTACCTTATTGACCCCTTTTCTAATATTACAGTTACCCTCTTCCGTTCGTGTTTTCGTTTAAAGATTTATGTGTAAAGAAGAGAAGAGTCTTTTTTTTTTAATATCTAGGAGATTCAGTTAAAGTTAATCAAAGTAAGCGTTACTTCGGTTAAAGTTTCTTTGAAAGGACTTAACTGGGTTACGGGAGAGTTTAGAAAAAGAGAGCAAATTTAATGTCTAAATTTTTAAATCTACCTTATTATAAAAGTTACCTCGTAAACCATTATTACCGAAGTGTTTCTTCTAATTTTACTATTGAAATTCTATACTATCATATAACTGCTCCTTGCTTATTTCTAAAAACAGCTTTCCCCACTACAATATTCAGCAAATTTTACAATCACTGTAAAGACGACAATATAATTTCCACGAACGCTTCTAAAGACTTTAAGGACGCTGGGACAAAGAAAAATAGAATTTCCGATAGGGTACATAGTCAAAGTAAAATATTTGAAGTTGAAGGGGGGAATGGTTCGCGGACGATTTTTGATAAACAAAACGCAGAACTACTTTACAAAAATACTTCAAACCTTTATAAAATAGATTCTTCTCTTTCAAAGGATAAAAAAAAATATTTTTAAAGGTGTTTAGGTTTTTTGCTATATCCTCTTTATTATATTTATTGGTGCTGAACACGACAATCTTAATCTATGTAGGTACCTTTTTACCTTCCACTGATGGTTTAAACAACAGAATTGCCACGAGAGCTAAAAATAAACATAAAAAAAGAGAAAAGGCCAGGCATAACAGTAAATTTCAGGTTTCCATTATCTCTTTCCTTTTTGTATATTTTGTTTTCATCCCTGTTCCGCTTTTTTTATGTCCTATCCATTCTAAGGGCAAAGCTTTGGAGTTCAGGATATGTAAAGCCCTCTGTACTTCCGAAGCATTTAATTTAGAAGCGCTTACGTCTTTACTTCACTCAAAGTTTTATAAATAGCTTGCAATTATTGTACCAAAAATTCCTCTTTTTCTCTTTTTTTTTTATAGAGACTTTAAAATCACCAGTTTTTCGTCTGTTGGTGAGGAAACTGATGTTATTCACGTGTATTCTTTTTCAGAAAGAGGGGAAATCTTCTTCTTCAAAAGTGGTTGGTTTTTTAATATATCTTCTTGTTATGTTTATTGTTATATTTTATACAATGTGTCTGATCTTGTTAATACCAGGTACTATTGTTCTTTGGAATATCTCTAATTCTGAAATGCTTGAGGTTGATTAAATTAGTTAATTATTTTAATTTGTACGTATTTTTAACCTTTTTTATTGTGTTAAAGTTTCTGAGACTATATTTATGTATAAAACTTTTATATTTCTACTTTGCATCTTTTTCATCACCTTTTTTTTTCGTTACCCTTTTAAATTTAAACCAGATTAGAAATGATTTGAGATTAGTTTATTTTACCATATTTTTAGATTTTGTTTTGGTTTACACCTTATTTTTAAATCCAAGAGAGTAACTAACTAGAGGAGTTTTTCTTTTTGTAAGGCCAATTGTCACCATTTTTTTTAGGTTCGTTTAGTTTAGATTTCCTATTACATATATATTTTTCCCTTATTTTTTTATTGGAATCAAAAGTTTAAAAAATTTTTTTTGAGTAAAAATTGTATTTAATTTATGTATACTTTTAGAAAGTTATAAAGCGTAAAGTATATCTTTTAGACCAATAATGTTTATTTATGAAAAGGTACCTAGCGTTTATAAAAAGTTAATTATTGTGCGTCATCGTGAGAGCCTAAGCAGTACTCGCCCTCACGAGTGCTTCACACTACAACTTTAATAGCTGTAGAAAGACATTAGAATACTAAACTAAACGGAAATCGAAACAACGCAATCTTTGTTTAGTAGTAGCGTTTAAACTAAATTATGTTTTACCTTCCTGCTTGGTACTGAGTGGCCTCCGCGTGGATTTTGCCGTGTTTACCAAGCATTGGAAGTACTAAACCGTCAGATAAGAGAACTTCGCTTTTACTAAAACATTTCTTGGTGGCCCGTTTTGGAATCAGGCAGTAAAACTCTTTTGTCGAGTGCACATAAAATCTAAAAACCAACGAAAATAATACAAAATCCTGGAAAGTTTAAAATAATAAAAACTAATCCCCGCCCTGCCATGCTTGGTCTTCGTAGGAGTTGTGGCAATCGTGATGACCCTAGTCAGTCTCTCTGTATTTATACTAGTTCATCTTTATAAACGCCGTATAAATATTGGTTGCAGCAAGATACAAGCGCCAACAGCCGCCACACACTTAAAAATTTTTTAATATATTAAGAAGTTATTGAGATTTGGAGACGCTTTAAATTTAGTCTAAAGGCCAAAAGAATTTTCTCATACTTTGAAAGTATTTTGGCTAAATATTTTATATACCGCTTGCAGGTTAATAAACTTCTTCATAAAATTGAAGTTCGTCCGTACATCTCGAAAATCGTGGCGGAAGAAGAAATTTATTATAAAATAGATGATTCTCGGTTATTTTAAATTTTATATACCTTTCATTATTTTAATTAGTCTGTGCTACAATTCGTTTCTAAAATAATTTTTTTCAGAGAGTCTACATTAGTCAGCGAGAATATTATTATTTTTTCTGGAAAACACGACCGAGAAACACTAACTTTTGAGAAGTATGGTAAAAAAAACTTTCTCTTTTAGATATTAAAAACTTCTCGAAGGAATCATATTCTAAAATAATATTTTCTTTTTAGCAGCAAGCCTTTATTTTTTAGTAGTTTCTTTGTTTCCTCATATATTATGCAATAGTAGTAATAATTATATAATAATACGGTTATAATAAAAATGGGGGCGCATATAAATAACCGCAGCGTGACAGTTTTCTCATTTTTTTAAACCGTCTCTAAACATATGTTCGCATGTCTTTTTTTTATACTAAAACTTATTTACTAATTCAACAATTACTTCATTTATTATATAATTAGTTAATCACTTATTTATTATTTTAATTGTAATAAATATATATGTGTTGCGGTTCTGTTAGTAATATATTAGAAGAGTACAACTCTAGTTTTAATATATTTTTTATATTAGTATTAAATTTTTATAATAGTATTGCCAATGTAGCAGGCAATTACTTGTACTTGAAAAAAAAAGTCGTTGATGACTTCTCTTTCTTTTTTTTATTTAGAGGCCACATAAAGGCAATGTATTCTTATCTTCATCTTTATTCTTTGTTTAACCCCTTTTATTGCATAAATCTATTAAATATTACATAGTCCTGTACAACTGTTTGTCGCTTATGCATTATTAAAAGAAAACTTTTAATATTTCATAGAATAGTTATATTATATCTTATATTACTACTTATATATATATGCATTTCTATTTATTTATAATAATTTGGAATCTGTTCGTGCTTCTACATATTTGATTCTTCTTAGTTGAGTATATATACAAAAATATCTTTTTAAAACTTTTGAATTGTTTTAAAAGATTACCGTACTCTATACGACTAAAATATACTGTTAGTATTGTATTTTACAATTTTTTTACAATATTATTATGATTATTATCTTTTTTAGCTGCTTCTGATGCTCTTGCATTGTCGGCAAAACTGGACATTTGGGAAAATATGCTTGAAGAGCTTGTGGATGAAATTTCCTACATTCCAACTTCCATGAAGGTGTCACTGTTTATTACAATTATTATTAACCAACGCGTGTATGGAGCATTTTACTTGCTTTTCACTTACTAAAGTTAACTTTTTAACTATGATATTATTTTTTATATTTTTTATTCTCAATATTTTTAAATCTTTGATTATTATTTTCATAATCAAGCTGTTTTATTCGTATTTCTACTTTGTTAACGAAAACAGTTGGTTATATATTTTGCGCATATCATTTATTTGCTTTCAAAGCTACCCACGTGGATTTTAGTCATTCACTATAATTGACTAAATTTTTCTTAAGTCAGGCACGTGTTTCAACATATCCCGAAGGTCCTTGGAGAAAAAAACGGGTCAACTGCTTTATTTGCGAAGCAATATAAATCTCGTCTCCCATTTGCTATCGCCGCCTGACTTCTACTGGGACAGGTGACCTTTCAGCCCCGGCATTACTATATATAGTTATTTTTATTCGTTCACGTAAATGAGTTATTTTCTGGTAACATTGTTTATTTATTATTATAAATAAGATATTACATTTTTTAGTGTACCATTTTTTACTAGTATATTTTTTATTTATTTTACTGTTATATTTTTTTCTTTACTAAGTTTTATAAAAGCAAAGCTTTTTTTTGTTTACTTAATATTTTGAATATACTTTTTTTATTTAAAAAACAAATTTTTTTTATTTGCATATTTTATAAAAAAAGTATTAAGCGGTTTAGTTTAAATTCTGTTTCAGAATTTTTTTATACATATTCAAAAAAGCAGAATTATCTTCTATACGTTCTTATCTTCATATTATAAAATAAAGAATGAACAAATAAAATGCTATCAATAATTTTTAAAAACTGTTTATACCGAAAGCCTTTCTTTATTACGCACCTTTTAAGGTATCTTAACTTTTATATAGAAATAATATTATATAATAAAAAGTATTTATCCTTTTAAAGGTTAAAAGTCTTTAAAGTTTTTTTTGAAAGGTATAAAAAACTTTTTTTATACGAAAGGCGGGAAGAAAAGAAAGTTACAATTTTATTATCAACTAAAGCGATGAATCCTATTGGTTTTTCTTCTTATTTAGTAATTTATAATTAACCAATCAAGTTCTCAAAAGTAGTTAAATGCTTTTTGTGACCTTGTGCGTAGTTTGTTATTTTTTTATTTAAAGTTTTCTCTTATAAAAGTTATTTGATTAAAGCTTTTGATAGTCCGGAAATATAAAAAACTTTTTATAATAAAGGTAATTATAAAAATTTTCTATAAGACTGTATTTTTGTACAAAAAGCTACCATTTTTAAAAAATAAAATTAATTTGATTTTTTTTATAATATACAGAAAAGGTTGTTTATAGTTTTTTTATTTTCTTCGGTCCCAGTAACCTTTCTTTAATAAAACTTTATATTATATTTTATTTTCTTTCTTTATTTCATCGGATGATGTAAAGAACTATTTTGACACGAATAACAAGAGAATTTTTGAAATACTTTCTTCTCAATACTAATGTTTTAAACACGCCACTATTTAATTTTTTAATTTTTAAAAGACTTGTAATTTATAATTAATTTATTCATTAAAATGTGTGTTTCCACCTCTTTGAATCCAGTTATTTTTAAGTTTGTTACCTCTAGGCAATCACGTGTATATGAAGCAATTAACTAATTATATTTCCTTCACTTTTTCCATTACATTCAAGTATTTATTTATAATCATCTTTTATCATTCCTATATGAATTTTCCCCTACTTTTTATGATATATTTTTGTTTTAATTTATATATTAGTTACTATCGCTATTTTTTATTATTAGTTTTAGGTTAACTTTTTGTTATTATAACTGAAGTACTCTATAACTTTAATATATATTTAAAATTTTATATAATATATTGTTTTACGAAACTTTTTGTTCAATACCTGATAGACCGCTTCTTGAGAGTATCTACACAGCTGTGTGCAACCGGCAGTTAGATATCGAAAGTAGAACAGAAGTTGCTAACAATCGGTTATTACTATATATATAGTAATATTAATTAATATAAGTATTCTTTTTATTTATACTAAAAATTAACTTTTCTAAATGTTAAAAAATTTTTTGATAATAAATAACAAACATGCTTTTAGCATTTTTATTATATTCTTTTTGTGTATAAAACTATATAGATGGGAAAGATTTACTAAAAAATAATAAAAGTAAATAAGTTTTCTAATTATTTATAATAAAACTTAACTTTTCTAAAAATATTAGAAAAATTCCTAATAATAAACTAAACTTTTGTATTAGTATTCTTATTTTTTTTGTATAAGTCTATATGTATTGAAAAGTTTTGGTTTTGCTAAACGTTGAGTTCATGTTGTATCATAAGAAAACATTTTTATGCAGGAAATTAACTATTTTTACATTTTTTATTTAATAAAAAATAATTATATTATTTTAACTAGAAATATTTTAATAATAAAGTTTTTTTTATAAATCATTATTGTAAAAAGTTCAATTTTATCCAGTTTCTTAAAAAAATCTAATTTAAAATTTGTTTTGCGCTAGTAGAAAAACTTAATAATTTTATATTTTAGTATGGTTGTTATTTTTTAATTAATATAGAGTTTAGAAGTAAATTATTTACTTAACACTATTTTATTGATTATTTTTTACAGCAGCTCTTTTATACTTTTTATTTAATATTTACTTTTTATTATATTAAGCTAATTAGATTTTCAAGTATTATAGTCTTCGTTAGTTTTCAGTTTGCAAAACTTTTTTATCTTTTTTAAATATAAGAAAAAGATTTAATTTCGTTTAAAAATGTTTAAATTTTTTGGTAATAAAATTTCAAAAAGATTATTTAAAATAGAAAGTTGTAAAATAGTTATGTAAATAATATTAATTTTTTACATTATATACTTTTATATGGTATTAATTAATATTATATAATCTATACTTACAAATTTTAATTTAAAATTTTATTTTATAAAAAAATAAAATGAGGGCGTTTACACATTTATTTTTGACATAAAAGTTTTTTATTATTTAAATCTCTAAGTGGATATGGTAGTTATTTTTTTAAAAAAAATGGATTTTAAAATGTTTTAATCACTAGTATTATTGGTTAAAATTTCAACCTCCTTACAGGCTTACTCACACTGGCGAGCTGCTGGCTCTTCTGCGCGAAAATAAACATTACCAAGTCGCGGAGAGTTTGGAATTGGCCATCCTCGTCCTCATTTTTGTGGAAATAATTCTTGAAGTCTACAGACATTATCAAAATTTATAATTAGAAATCTCTTAATAAAACTGGATCTTGGTTGACCAGATTTTCTTAACATTTCATTACCAAAGCTAACATTAAAGTTGCTAAACATTTTCAAGTTAAACAGTTCAGCCTTTTTTTTTAATATACAGGAAACTCTCTTGTATTTTGGTTTAATAATTTAAGACTTTAACAGATTATAAAGTTGCAATCACGATCTTATCCTCTCCTACTTTATATTATTTAAAGGGGAGCGGTAAACTTTTGTAGGTAAGCTACTCTCAAGTCAATTGGTAAAAGTACTGCCTTAAAAAACGATTTTGGAAGGGAGGTCCCATCTTTAAAATGGTGTTAATTCCACCCCCCACTCGAAGACGTTTAAGCCCGTTTTTTTTTAGGTAAATCTTTTATAATCTTATCTTAAAAAAATCACCCCAAAAGTTTGCCATCTTGAGCTTTCAACATTTTAGCTTCAGTTTATACTTGTCAAAAATTAACTTAAATGTAAAAGTTATAAAAGTCTTGAGACAAGAAAGGCAAGTTCAGTCCTACTTAAGACTATTAATTAAAGAAATAATACATTAGTTCAGCGCGTGTGTTAAATAACTATTACAAGATAGTTCCTTTTAATTGCACAGAAAAACTCTCTATATCCTATAATAAAGATTTACATTTTAAACAAGCAGAAAAACCAGAAAGATAAAGTCTAGATCTGAAAATAAAGAAGGGAAGAGGCACTTTTTAATAAGGTTTCGCGGTTTTTCTATTGTAAACTTGCTTCTTTCGTTAATTCTATTATATTGAAGTGAAAAATGATTAAATCTTTACTATAAATGTACGCCCTTTAGAGCGCGGAAGGTACAAGTTTTAACCTTTCAACGGGCAAAACTCTAAGGCTTAAAATAACAGTTGCATATTTATGCGAAATCACTTCCTATGTTGAAACTATACTTTAAAGTCCCGTATTTGTTTTGAAAAGTTAATTCGATATATCCCAATAAATGTTCCAAAATAGAGGAATAAACAAAATGTTTATTTACCTATCTAACCAAAAATAAACCTTTTACATTTAGAATGCACTTTTTTTGTCCTATAAAAAGATTGTGCAGCACATGCTTAACTCAATGTTCACTGGTAACTAAATTTACCAATTTTTTGTTTTGTCGGTTGCTGCCTAATCCAGTAGAACGTGATTCTAAAGAACGTGATACTCAAACTTGCCAGTTTGCTTGAGAGAGCGAGCCTATAGTATGGGGTTAATTCCTTAGATCTACTCCTAGGTGACAATTGGTAAACATGGTAACCAGTAACCTATAAGGAATTAGTGATGGGGGTAAGCCCCCTACAGTTGGCGGTTCCTCTAATTTTTTGGGTATCCTTTACTTCTATACATAATTTTTATGCAATTTGGTGCCTTAAAGTTAAATTAAGGTATATTGGTAAAAATTTAATGAACAGACGGGACATTGCTTCAAACATTCAAGGCGTGCCAATGTTATTAACTGGAAGGTCCATTAAAGTTTTTTCTTTGTTTAAACAAAGAATTTGCAAAAATACCATTAAGCATGCTGCAGACTATATTGGAAAAGAAGCAGAGTTAGTAAAGCAGTCTGCAGGTTGTTCTATAATATACTATAGTCTAAGCATATTTATATCGGCCTTTATTTTATATGTAAAACTATATATATATATAAATATTATCAGAATTAGCAAAAACTTGGAAAAATATATGTTATTACATCGCTTTCCCACTTGTTGGAGCTTCAGCCGTTTGGTGTTTTTATAAAGAATACGGTCATCACGATGAAGAGAACGAAGAGCCTATTCAGTATGATTATATGAGAATTCGCAGGAAGGCAAACTATTGTTTAACTTTATGCTAAATATTAATTTAATTCTTTCTTTTTACATAAAGCCATTTCCTTTTAAAGATGGAGACAAAACACTTTTTTGGAATCCTAAAGTCAACCATTAGTCTTTATAATAAACTTATATAAGGAGCCTTTATGTTTCAACCTTAGAGTTTTAATAAACTTAAGGAAGCTCCCTCCCGTCTTAGCTTCGGTGGGAAAAGAATTAATATTCGCCTTTTTTCGGCCGTAGTAAGGGTTGCCAGGATACAAAACTTATTGACCGGAGATGTTAGCTAAAGAAATGAGACTTGGATGAAAAATATTATATTATTAGACTTATAAAGTTTTTATAGGAAGTTTACGTTATTAATCCAGGAATTATATTTAAATCTTAAAACTATTATGTTAGACTTTGTTCTTAAGACCTTTACTTATAAAAAATTGTGGTAGACAGAGAAAAGTTCATAGTACAAAGAGCGGTTATGTTAACGGTTTGTTTTAGTAGTTTCAAAAGAAGGGTGGAAGGGGGAACTTCAAGCACGTTGCATACCATAAGAAGTTTGCATGACGAAAAGTTTTTTAGTGTAATTAAAAGTCAGGTCCATGGATGTTTCAACGATAACATAATCTTTGAGTTTTTCCACTGTTATCTAACGCAACTGAATCTAGCAGTACTTTAAATTTACTTTTCAGTTAAAACTCTTACTATTATTTATGAGCTTCAAGAATACATGACAATACTAATGGTGCTTCGGAAACTAAATAAAACTAACCGGAGCTGTTATATAGTAGCGGATAATAACAGAATAATAACTAAAATAGGGCATGACCAATTATGAAGCCTTTGACTTTATAAAAAGAATAATATTCTAACTCTTGAGTTTATCATAACAATCCTCACTTATTTCATATTGTGATAAGATGCAAGCGGAGATATATCATGAACCTTTAGCTCCGCGAATTTAAGTTACATCTAAACTTAACAAAGGTTGAAAGGACAAAAAAATATTACGTTGGTATTAGGAAAAATAAGTCTGATTTTTTTCATTTTTTTAGAGATGATAGAAGTCAAAATATTTCTGTAAAAATGAAAGCATTTAATTATTATAAAGTTCAAAGAAAACTATATTAACTGTCAAGAAGGACAAGGGGTAAATTGACAGTCTCTTACTGCTTTACTTGCGGATTTTACCAATTTCTGGAAAGTGGCTAAAATATTCATGGTTTAAAAGTTTCTCTTTTTCCTCTTGAGATAAGTACCTATCTCACAACAGCCTCTTTCCTCGCTTGGTAGCATATTAAAAACCGTATGGATTTAGAAACTAGCTTAGCTAACGCCTGAGCATAGTTTGATCACTTATCTTAAAAGTTTACCTGCACAAAAAACACAGATCACTATGCTTAAAAGGGTTTAATATGAGACTACCCGAAAGAAGCTCTTACTAAAGTAAAAAAAAGAATATAATTTCAAAAAGTAAGAAAAAGATTACGAGGTTTCCAATAATAAAAACTCCAAAATATAAGTATGGGTTTTTATATAAGACTGACAATTAAGTTGTTAACTATAAGGTAAAAACCTTAAGAAACCGAAAAATAGAGAACCGAAACATAAGAATTTCTACGGGATACTCGAAAGGTTCTATACAAACTTGACAAATCAAGTTATTAATAGCCTTACAAAAAAAAACACAAAAAAAACCTTTTAACTATGAGTTAGACTTTTTATCCTAGTTTCTCACTATGAGGAAAGTAATTTTTTAGCCCTAGATAAACAGCAGATTACCATTTACTACGAAAAGTTAATTAGGGGTGACACAGATCAGCTAGTATGAAAGCAGCATCGGTGATTGGCTTACATATTCTTTTGCAGATATTGCAGAACGGTAAAAAAGGCTTTATTTCGAGCTAGACATTGTTTAATAAAACTTTTGGGATGTTGTAAAGGCTGTTAATATCCCTATAAATTATGAACAACTTAAAACTTTCTGTAAATGTGTACGGTAGATTTTTCCCAAAAGAAGAAGATAAAGAGGGTGAAGAAATAAAAGACATACCCCATACAAAATCAGTGGATCTTTCTGGTGAAAGTGATCTTTTCGAGTCATACCTAAAACCACAATTGCTGAATGCTCATAAACCCTCAGAAGGCTGAAAATTATATTATACCTACAACTGATAGAAATTAGTGATACTTAATTTTGCTTTAATTAAATAGGAGCCGGAAGCCAGCAGGTGACTGTACAAAAAAAATTAGATTTTAAAAGTTCTAACGTCTTTTTTGATGACGGAAGTTTTAAAATAATGACTTCGAGTATTTTTTTAAATGCTCATTATTGTATAACAAGTAAACTATATAAAAATTGTACCATTAAATAAAACCTTAATCTCCTTGTTGTATAGACTTTGAGCTTACCTCCTTAGCTCTAGAAAAATTTGGACTACCTAAAGACGAAGCAAGCAATTATTACCTTAGTTTTGTAACGAGAGATGGAGGTTTTAATATTTATTTGTACCTATAAGCTTTTTATTTTTGTCCGAATAATAACGTACTGGCTTTTGATTACCCCTTTTATTATAACTTCATTTACTTTTAAGATGCTTATAAATAACTACGTAAAATTAATTTAGTAAACCTGCGATAGACCAACTGCCAAGTAGTTGTTAGCAGTACGTTGTGTTGAAGAATCGAAAACCAATTACGTAATTTAACTTAAGTGGGCTTAAGGAGACTCATGCAACCATCACTAGAGGGGGTACAACGTATGCAAAGCTAGCAGCTAAACGTAGCGAGGGAATTGCTTATAATACAAAAAAAAACTTAAAATATCAGTTGAATTTTTGAAACACGAATAATTTGGTCCAACAATCTCAAAAAATTTCAAACCCTTTAGTTTTTAGTACTGCGATATTTGCTTAAAACTCTAATTTAAGAGAATTAATACAGCTATAGTTGTTTTCATAATAACCGGAACAACTAATATACTTAAATTTACGTGATTAAGAAAGATACGTATTAACTGGCACGAAAGCACTCAATAAACACAGAGTAAATATTTATTAAAATATATAAACGTCATTATGTAAAGCTTAATAATCGGTTTAATTACATTAATAAGAAACTTTTAATTTTCAGAATTTTCCCATAATAGAAGGGCTGAGGAAGTGTTTGTTCGTGACTCAGTTCTATAAGACATATCCTTACATAGCTAAGTAAAAGAAGCGAATAAACCATGTATGACCAGCAAGAAAACCAAGTTCACTTCGGCACAAAATAGAAACTCAGAAGAAGAGGTAAAAGATGGAACTCTAAAGTAACAAAAAAGCATACAAATCCAAATAGAAAAAGTAAAATATGAACTATACATAAAAAAGTTTATGTATGAATATGAACGAAAACGACTATATAATATAAAGGGCTGTGTCTGTAGAAAATATTTGCAGAAGTTTTATTAAAATTGTGTCTGTTAGAAACGTTCAGCTGGTTGCATTATTGAGTTCAGCTGTATACATAATTCATTATCTTTTCTATACCAACTCTCGAGCTAGTTGCATAACTCATACCAACTGTTGACCTATTTATCTCTTAAGAGAAGGTTATAAAACCTTTCGATTGGTTTAAGAATGCTACTTTTATGAAAGTTGTGCATTTTTTCCTATCGACTATTGTAAAAAAGCTTATCGCATAACCGGTGGAAAAACCTTAACCTTATATTTTTTAACTTGTTTTCCTTCCTTTTATATAAACAAAATTTTTTACTCTATTTTAATAAACATGAAAACCCATTTATTCGTACTGCTTATTTCAGAGGAGAAGCGTTTTTTGAACGACGAGGACAACATTTTTGCTGACTGCTCGTATTCTGATCTGGAAGGCGATCACGTCCGCATTTATCTAACCTGCACTGCTTTAAGGGTGACTTCTAAGTATAACCTGCAATCTTAGTGATCTTTTTTTACATGTCTTATATTTTAAGGACTGCGTCCGTACAATTACAATAGGCGTGGGTAGCAAAGCAGTGGATCTAGAAACCAAGGCCGTTCACTTTACTAACAAAGTTCTTCGGCAAATTGCACTACAAAAGCCCAATATTAGCACCAGTGGCCACTTCCTAGCTGAACGGAGTGGTTCAGTTAGTTTGATCGTCACTAATCAATTTTTAAAATTGAATAACCGTAACCTTCTGCGTATAGGAGCAGGCATCGTCCTTAGTGTTAAGCGATTGGGATATCCCTTATGCATATCCGAACCCTCAATTTGTTCTTATAAAAAGTAAACAAACTGGAAGTGTAAAAAAGATGGCCAAGGCTATGGGTTCCTACGTTGTTCTTGCTAACAATTATTGTACTTTTAAACTTTTCATTAAACCACTAATTGCTTAGTCGCCAATTATACGCGCGATCGACCCTCCTCTTGCGAACCCGATTGCGAGATGGTGAAAAAGAGACTTGACTGGACTATCTGTAGTTATTATTAATAGCAATGGATCTCAAAAGAGTTATACTGTAATTTTTGCCGCTAGTACCCAGTCAGTCCTTTAAAAAAACGGGAAAATTTCTTCATCACAGCATAAGAGGGCTCAAAAATAGTGGCCGCCGTAAAAGTAACGCAGACATAACTGCAGAAACTTTAAAACATTCCAATAGCGAAGAGATAAGAAAGATAATGCAGTCCGGAGACTTGAAGCTCATGGTACACGCTCCGTCTTAAACAAACCACTTCATGCCGTACTTTCTTATGCAAATTCAGGAAAAAGAAATGTGGGAGACAACGCCTGGTCTGTTTACAAGATCGCTAGAAGAAAACACCGAGGGGGGCTCCCGCGTGCCTCTGTGCATACAAAGGTGCTGGGAAGCTATTGAGAAGCGGGGTGACCCTATTTTGCATCTGGCCACCGTCATAATTATATACATTATGATATTTCAGGGCTCACGTGTAAAGGTATCTATCGCCTCTCTGGGAGCATCACGCAGTCCCGAGAACTAAAGCTTGATTTTCATTTGGGTTTTTTCCTTTTTTTAAATACACTTTGTATGAAAATTGACCCAAGTATATTTCCCCCACGACAGGGCGCCCTGTGAGACTTGAGGAGAAGAGCCTCAATTCGTGTGCGTCGGTGGTCAAATATTTCTTTACAAGCATCCCCAAACCCTTATTTGGAGGGTTCGAGGACCATAAGAATATTGAAAGTCCTGCGCTTCGTCACTCAATCATGCTTAATGCTAACGACTACTGTATACATGTAGGTCTAAACACTCAGGATGAAAAGATCGAAAAACTAAAGCAACTTTTCCGTTCGCTTCCCCGTGAAAACATTTTCATTCTAAACAAACTGTTTATGCACTTAAAGCAAGTGGCAGCGCACAGCGAGTTGAACTACATGCAGGAAAAAAACATCGCCGTAGTTTTTGCGCCTTGTCTACAAATGCCCTTCGGACTGCTCGAACTCACCCTCATAAACTACGATCCCACATGGCCTCCTAGCCAGGTCTAAAAAACGGGGGCTTCCGTTTGTAACGACTAGTTCATATGCCCCCTTACGCAGCTAGTAAATAAAATCACGCGTGTCCAGATGCTAATAGCTAAACTCATTTATTTTATAATTGTGTATAAAAATTTAAAAGGGGGGCGTATTAAGAGGGAGGGGGAGGCTGTGGTTGTCCCTGGGGCGGGGGCGGAGGAGAGCCGCTACTCGGAGGAGGCGGACAGTCAGCAGCTACCCCGACAGGCGCCATCGGATAGATATAACCTGCCCCGCTCATGGCAGGCCAGGGGGCAGCAGGCGAGGTAGAAGGCCCCAGCGGATATCCTTGAAGATAAAACCACGCGGTGGGTAAACGAATAGCACAATTTAAAATATTTAGGGGTACAACCGTGCGAGTGCAGAGGACCCACAGAGTGCGGAGGCCAGGGGTGATACTGCAGAATAATAATGATCTGCGATCGGGAAACAACGATAGGAGGTTACCGGTTGCATGGCGGGGTGTGCGTATGGTTGCGGCATCATAAAAGGGTGTGACATGGGAAGATACGAAGGAGGGCCTGGCGGATACGCTGCAGCAAAGGAAGTACGGTAATAAAGCGGAGTAGCACACGCAACGTTGCGCTGGCACAACCGTGGGGAGGCGCGGGAGCAGACAAAAGCAAGCCTGCAGGCAGGTCTCCTGATATACTCGAAGGGTTAGTAGCAGACGGCTGACTCTGCGGGTCCTCCGATTGCTTGTCCTCGGGGGCAGGATCGGACAGCAGCTCCTCGGGCACATCTTCGCCTAAGTCCTTCAAAAAGAGCGCAAATTCTCGGTCCATCTGGAAAGGCCTAATCAGCAAAGGCACAAGGCGAGGCCATGCGGGTTAATGCTAACCTTAGCTTTATCGATAGTGGGGTTCTGCTTGTTCTTCTGCAAGCAGTCAGCTTCAATGTGGCCGGCGCCCCCGCATATGCTACACACTATGGCGGCTACAGCGTTCTTGCGCTCGGGACATTGCCAATCGCGGTGTTCTGCAGAGCCGCAGTTGCCGCAGCCACTGAAGATAGAGTCTTCCCTGTAGGTACCTGCTCAAAAAAAGGGCCAATAAGGGTCCTTAAGAATGACAGTCCCCGTGGGCTGCAACAAATAACCATTCATCTTTGCAAGCAGCTCAAGTTGCTGTTTCTTCAATTGGTTCTGTTCTTCAGGACACTCAATGGCCTGAGGAGTAATTGAGAAGTGCGATTTAAAAATAATTTATAATAATGAGCCTCACTAGTGACTACCATTTTTATAATTTTGTTAATCTTCTCGATGGCTCTTTTGAAGCTCAACTCGTCGGGCGCACGAATAAGTGCGTGCAACTCTTCGTCTTCACCGGGAACGGGCTGACCGCCTTGACGGCCTTTGCCAGGCTTCACGCTTCCTTTCCCCCTAATCATAATCTTTGCCCCAGATGCCTTTTCCATCTCCTTCAAAGTATTTCCCCGCGGGCCAATAAGCAGCCCAATGAAATTAATTTCCGGATACTGATCCTGCGGAATGTCGATCCGATCTTCTATCACCGAAGACTCACCCCGAAGTCCTATATATAAAAAAATACTAAGAAAGAGAGCTTGCATAACGAGAGCATATACAAACCATGTGAATGAATAATATATATAGCAGAGGTTTGATTAGGTTACCTTTAATATAAAATAGGACACCTCCCCCGTGAAACAAAAACTAAACTAAGAAAATATACATGAAATGTTCGGATAAAGGCTCGAGAAATGCCCCCGTTTATTGGTTAGTAAAAAAAGTTATTATAATTAAAATGTTATAAAAAAATTATAAATTATAAATTTCCCAATAAAGTTGGAAGACACAACTAAGGACGTACCAGGAGGCGGTTGAAAGGTGGGATCAAGCTGCATCACCCTTTGAACAAGAATCTGTCGTTCCTCTTCTAACTTTTTTCTCGTACGAAATTCTCTTGTATTTATCCTAATGCCCCGATTATCATATATAGGCTCTATAATGAAAGACTTTAGTTTAGTTATTTTATTAAATAAAAGAATGATAATATGAACCTGGAGAAGGAGAGCGGTTAGATGGATCGATAAGAATCCCCAACCCACTAGTCAAAAGCTTATTTATTTCAATTATTCGAAAACGGGCTTAAATAATAGAGCAAATAATACTGTAAAATATTAAAAAATTTATAGTTCACAACCTATAAGAGCTTCCTGTTTGTCTTTTGGTAAATTAGCTGCGACAAGCGGTACAGGAGCCGAAGCCTTTTCTGCTTCACCACCCCATCGACTTTTTTTCTTTTTTTTCTTCTCTTCTTTCGACTTATAACGTATATATTAAGTTTGTTACATAAGACACTATTTTTTGCAATATCAACCACATCTGAATCCGCTACAAGAGATTCATGACTTCTTTTTACGTTTTTAAAGCCTTCATCGGCAGCTGAAACAGAAGCCGCCGACACGTCAACAGTCATTACTTAAAGCTTCCTTTATTGTTTGGCATACAAACTGCAAAGTTTCCGTGAGATGGGCGAGAATCCGTTGCTTTTGCTTCAAATCACTAAAATGAAACGATTTGTCAGCCAATAAAGAACCAAAATATCACACAATTTGAGTGTTGGGGGCCCTCAAACTATTAAAATTCAAATTTGAAGTTTTTATTTGCTGGAAAACCGCCACGCTCTACAGTAAAAAAAATTGGCAGCAATTTTCTGTGCGGTTTCCTTTTTCAAGTAGCCTACTTCTTCCAGTTTTATAGGGGTGTTTACCTTTTAATCTGCATTTATCTTGACTTTAAGGGCTGAGGCGCAAGTAGTCTTCACTGTTACTTTTCCCAAGGGCCTTCAATTATTTTCCGAAGGACAGACTGTACGGTAACGGAGACATATCGGGCCCGGACCAAAAACTCCTTTACCAACTAGACCTCCTCGGCAAAGTGGTAGTTGTACTCTAATATATAGATATTTTGTTAAGAGACTTCGAGAAACTTATGCATCCGTTACAGAGGAATAGTGGTAGCGCTCTGCAACGGATTTAATTTTAGCCTATCTTAGCCGGTTGCTTGTCAGCTTGCTTTAGTTATGTTTTTCATTTCTTTAAAAATTGCAAAGTTGCTTATTCGGGAGATTTTTTAGTTATCCATTATTATCAAGTTGGAAAACCTCACCTATTTTCTTAGATTTTAAGAAATATTTTAGGAAATTTAAGGTAGTATATTAGTAAATAAAATTTTTTTTGAACTGGATATACTATTTCTCGAATGCATTTTATGTTTTTTATCAATGTTTTTCCTTGTAGTATATTAGTGAAAACTACTAAAAGTAAACATAGCCATAATATGAAGATCTGTGGATTCTTCTACTTTAGGAGGGGGGACAATAGCAGCTTAGAAGAAGCAATAGAGACTGTAGCTATGCTAACGAGCCCTACTACGCCCATGTATATGCAGTGTAACGAAATAATACTTTATGATACTATTGTATATAATCTTTTTAGAGTAAATTACAGTACTACACAACCGTTATAAAAAATATTTTATTTTAGATATTTCTCGCATCCTTCGTTTTGTTAGGTTGAGTTAATTTATTCTTTCCAGTAGAAGCGAAACGCCGGTTTCAGTGGAGTTTTTAAGGCCGTTAAGAATCCTCAAAAGAAGTCTATACTGCTTATTAAAGCCCTAAAAAAAAAAGTTAATATGTTTACTATTGTATATAGAAAAGCTACTATTTACAGAGCAATTTTAAGATATAAAGTAGATTATTTGCACAGCATCAATTACTTAAAAAATAAGTTTGCTTTATATAGTTATGATCAATTTATAAATAAATATAAATTATAAAAAGTTGAGAGTAGGATTTAATTCTTTTGCTGTGGTCTTGACTTAACAAATAAAGCACCTCGCCTGCTTCCTTTCTTTTTTCCACGGATGTACTGCTGCAAAACTTGTGACAACACTCAAACAGTTCCGCCAAAGTATTCGTTACTACAGCAGTATAATAACATGACATTTATTATGATAAATGAGTTATAAATAAATTATTACTATGAATTTTGCAAAGAAAAAGTTGAGTTTTCGTAACGTTCAAAAAGATTTCGTAGGAATTTTTAATGTCGTCCACACTATCTTTGTTATTTACATTTGAGGTAAACTTTTCAAAATGAAAGCGAAGGACGTCCTCCTACGAAAACGAAAGGCGGATCACTCTTGAGCTGTTTTGCTACTAACACTAATACCGTTAAATAAAGAAACAATTGTTCGGCGAAGTGGGTCATTCTCCATCTCTGAATCCAAAAAGGATCGACTTTACGAGCGTCTTCTCGCTTATTAATGGAATTATTATTATTTTTCTGAAAAAAAAACTTTTTCGAATAATAAAAATTAAAGCGATAGGGACTTTATTATTATTTAAAAAAGCTTTGTTATTATAATTTGCATGGTTGTAGATAAGATTTTTAAATAAACGTCGAATAAAATTAATTAGACAAAACGAAAATAACGTAAAAAAACATTTGCAGAATTTCGTGCGCTCCGCCAGTTTTCTTGGAGCGTGCTTAAGACTTGCTTTAGCGATAACAAAAAGGCAAAAACATCTTTAAAACTGAAATAAAAAATTGATTATAAATTAGAAGTTAAAAAAATAATACAAAAATAATTTAAAAAATATATAGAAGTAAAATTTCAAGATTAAAAATAATTACAAAACAAGAGAATCCTTTGAAAAAAGGATATAAAAGACGGGAGGAAATTCTGGAGCGGTAATCGAGATAGACCTCCATTTTCCTATAAAATGGCAACATAAGTAATATCTCAAAAGTTTTACTTGTACAAAAAAAATTACCAAAAGCAAATTTGTTAACTTCGTCGCTGCAAAAATTCAGTGCGCAAAAGGGCGTCTCATTTGTATGGAAAAAGTTACTGTACTCGATTGCAAGAAGCTGTTCAATTTCTATCAGTTTTAAAAAAGTTATTCAAAATATATTAACTGGCAAAAAAAAAACTTGTAGCTAAAATTGGAAGAGGAAATTTAAAAAGGGCTTCGACTTTTAAAACCAGCAAATCAATAAAAGTAACTTCAGTCAAAAAGAAAATTTGATTTAATATCTTTCGATGTTATAATTAAATTCCCCACAAAAATTTACTAATAGAAGACGAGTAAGACTTTTAGCTTGGAATCTAACTGGAGGCGGTGGACAAGCACATCTATGATTTCGGAGGAGTATTTTTTATACTCTTTTGTTATGATTTCTTCGGCCTAATTAAAAAAAACGTTTGATATAAGTCATACTCTAAGAAAAATGTAAGGTAAGGAAAAAAAAAATAGAATATATAACCAAAAACCCCAATGTAAAAAAATAAAATAAAATTTAAAAGTATAAATATTAACTAATTTATAGATGTGGTCACCTTAATAAAAATAAATTTAATCTTTAAATTTAACTAGAAATAAAGATTGTAAAAAAACGAAAACAAAAAACTACCAAACCGCATGAAACAAAGTTGCTGCAGTTTTGTAAGATGTCCAACGTTTTTACAAACTCGAAGTTGGAGACACCCCAATCCTCTAAAGCTAATAAATAAATTTATATAATAAATAATTTAAATAGGAAATTATTACATAGAAATACAAGAAATTAAATTAGAAATCTTAATGGAATTGCCAATAAAGATTAATTTTTCAGCAAGTTTAACGGGTATATAAGAAGGAAGTAAATTTGGAAAAAGAACATATTCGTCCCTAAGCAAGTTATAAAAAAATAACTCTATGATATAAATACTTTAAAATAATACCATTGGAAAGAATTTATATTAAACTCATCTTCCTTATTTATTTCCTTTTCATCCAAAAGTTAGATTAAGAAAGTTTTATATAGTTTATAACACCTTTAAACTTTTATTTTTCTGTATAAAAAAATTAAAAAATTGTGGATCTTTAGAATCTATCCCACAGATGATCCACGTAATAAATAGTTTGTATAACACTTCGTGACAGGCTTGCTGAATCCTTTTTATAGTAATTTCACTTTTTCAAAAAAAAAAAAAACAAGTGAATATACTTTTACCGTTTAAACGAATTTTGTAAATAAGGAACTCCCAAGAAGACGGTGGGTTCCAAAGCTTGCAGAATACAACTTAATTTTTAACAAGTCAAAGCTTGATATTAAATCGAATTAAAAAAAATACTTTTTCTGCTTAGACAAGCTCATTACTTCTTGAGCAGTTTTATAAAATTTCGGTAAAATAAGATAAAACTGTTTTATAAATAAAATTTAAAAAAGGTTAGAAATCTCACAATTGATATAATATTGTTTGAGTTTAAGTAAAATTAAAAAAAGATAACCTCAGAAAGATGGGCTTCTACAGCTAAAGGTGATAGTGAAAAATTGGGATTACATAAACGAGACTCCAACTCGAGTATTCTACCTCTGTAGTCTTCTAACTCTTGATCCAAGCCTTTAAAAAAGGCTTTCGTTAAGTGATCTTCTTGTAAATTGGCTAACAGAGAACAGTCGTTTAGAAAAAATAAGATATAACAAATAAAAAAAGAGTTACATTCTTCAATGAGAATAGTAATTTTATAGTAGACCCAACCCAACTAGTATATTTTTATAAATATCACTATCAAGCAAGATCTCCAAATGTCAACATTATAAGAAATACTTAAACAATACTAACCTCAACTATCCTATTTAATAGAGCAACCTCTGGCGGCTGAAGCAAGCTGTTCTCTAGATCTTTAGCAACAAAAAATTTATCAAGCTGGTCATCGTGTAAAAAAACATCTCCAGGAAGACCAACAAGAGCAAATAAAAGATCGTGCAACATCGGGGCTTTGTGTAAATCACGAGCTGTATATGCACTCAGTGTTATATATACTTCAATAAAAATAGTTAGGAAAGTAAATTCTTCAAACTTATTAGGTTGAAAACTACAATAGGGAATTTTATTGAAAGACAGCAAACCGCCTAATCGACGAGGTAAACAGGCTGTAAAATAAAACGCAGTAGTTTGTTAGTGGTCCTGCATTTACTAAAAAGCTATTAAGGATAACATTTAATTTAACAGTTGAATTCATAAAAATGACATTTTTAATAGATGTGCTTAACCTAAATACATTTTCTTAAAGTCTACAAACGGGAAAAATAAGCATTACTTTATTTTGGATGTATTTAACTTTCAAGTTTACGTTTGAACCTAACCCCAAGATTTAGCCACAAGTTGTAGGGCTTATTATATTCCAAGCTTTTAAAAAACAATGTTTCAGTTTGAAAAATGCTTAATATGATAATTGCTGAACTTTAAGATCAAAGCTATATACATATATATTTTGATTATGATTAATTATTTAAAATAATGGGAAATTTAATTGACATTTTAATTGTTTATATCGTTCAAATGCTTTTAGTATATATATGCTTAAAAATAAGGATATTGACCTCATTTTTGCTAACTTTGCAACTCATTATAAAGACTCTCTTGATGTTTTACTAGGTGTACCCATTTCCCTGACCTATTTATAAATGACCTCTTAATTTTTGTAAAGATTCTTGCAGACGCCGAGCCGTTCCATTTAGTTGGAGTTGGATGTTAAACGTGCACACTTGCCAGAGCTTAGTGACTATCATACAAATATGGTTCAAAGTTGGCTTGACACTTGGTGATGGGCCCAGTTAACTTTTTACCTGTTTAACACGAGATAAGAGATCCTTTAAAATATATTAGCTCCAGGTATTAAAACCGTGTCGTGATCGACAATAAACTAGCATGGTGAACAAACGGCATATAAGTTGTGGCCAAAGCCAAAGCAGCAAAAAAAGCACTCCACCCGCTACTAAATGCGAAAATTATGATGTCCTTACCCAAAAACTTACGCTTATACATGCTGTACGTACGATTCATCATGGCAATACACTTCACCTGCTTGGGCATTCAATGTGGCAACAACTGTGGCAGCACTGCAAGTACCTAATTAAATTTCTAAGGTAAATGATTAGGTGCGTTGTGAGCGACTCTCTTCATAAAGGCCTGGATATTCCGCAAGTTGAAGAATTCTTTCAAACTCGCCCAACGCTGTTTACGACCGGGTAGAGACGCATTTGGACAGCCTTTTGTCACAGGAACTTTCATACATGGTTTGGTAGGCGCTATCAACACCGCGATGTGCTTTAGAATCCTTTTTACGTTCTCTTCTCCTTATTCTTCCTTAATCTTTATGAAAACAGAATTAAGCAAACGAAGTTAGTAACGCAACGTACTTTTAGACTAAGTTTGTATTATAAAAATAATTATTATTGTCCCTGTTATGAGCACTGCGAAGACAATAAAATATCAAATTAATAACACCCAAATGACTTTATAATTATGATTGATGGTAATTTAACATTTCCAACTAAGCGTTATCGTGATTTATTTATATCCACTGTTCTTTTTGATGGCTACAATTTTACAAATCACTAGTATCTATAGGTAACCTTTGGTAAGTAGTCATAGCTCAATTATTCTGTTAAAAAAAATTATCAATAATTTAGTTTCTTTAAATTCCTAGTTTCACGTCCTTGGAGTAATAGTCCCTGTATAAATAAAGAAAGCTAAGATCACTTTTTTAATTCGTTATAAAAAAAACTCTTCTTAGTTAATACACCCATGTAAAGAACTGTGATAGTTTCTGAACCTAATACTATCATACAATTATTAAAATGTTTATAGTATAAATTTTTTTTATCATAAAATATATTGTGTAGATCAAGTTAACAATTTAAGATTTATAAACTGGGTAGAAGCAACTCAACGTATTATTATGGTAATTAATATTAATATTCGTCTTAGCCTATATAGAATTTATTACTAAACCTTTAGTAAGCTCATTCACAGTTTAAAGGTTTTATGTACTCCATATTAGTTGACGTAGAACGTGTAATAAAAGGTTGCTGGACTAAGTATACTAATAATTAAACTGTCGTTTCATAACTACAGTAGCTCGTTAGTAGAAAAATATTAATTACTTTAGTGATTAAATAGGTAAGCAAAAATTAATGCACTTATAAAATTTGAAAAAAAAAAAGTTTAGTATTAGAGAATCCCTGCTTTAGAAAAGTTCAATTTCTGTGGCTAAAGAATTAACAGAAATCCTTCATTAGTAAATTGTTCTGTAACCTTTTTTCTATCTTACTATCACTAATTATTTCTGCATAATATTTTCCTTGGTTATTTTACTTCACAGCTGTTTACTTGTAATTTTAACCTTATAACAGAATATTTCTTTATTTAGTAAAAAACAATGCCCTTAGGCTCTAAACTAGTAAAAGGTGTCGTCTTTAGGGCCTTATTTATAAACCTGCACCTTGGATTTTCTAGAATAGTCCTTTTCATTCTTCATCGGTGATTTTTTTTCATTGAAATTCCTAACGTCATAAGTATAATACTGTGTTAGGGTTTTTAAACCTTCACTGACCCGGTATCTAAATCTTTAAGTTCTTTAAAATTAATTGTAAACAAATGTATATATATATATATATAGAGAGAGAGAGAGAGAGAAGAGAGAGGTACAGATGTGACTAAAACTGAAAAGGCACTAAAAAATTAACACGACTGCCAGTTTATTTTTCGTGAACCTTCATTATATACTAACAGCTAAGCAATGCAATAATCAATATTAATAATAAAATGCCTAAAATGGTAATTTGCATGTAAAAACTTATGAACTGGGATCTTTTCCTCAAAACTTCTGTACTGTTTAATGCACTATTATTTGCTGTTATTATAAATATCGCTACAACTTATTATAACTGACGTTAAAATTTATTATTAATTGTTCTTTTGCCTGCTTACAAATTATTAGTAAGTTACCATTTAATATGCAACTAATACTTCAGTCTTGGTAATAAAATTTAGGTCTTTAAGCTATTACCACTGGCCTAATTATTATTTCTCAATATTATTATAGAAATTAATGCTTGTAACTATTAAAATTTAAAAAAAAGGAAGAAATAAACGAAAATTAATATAAAAGTTGTCTTAACGTGTTAATTCTCATAATAAAACTATAAAAAGTTTTTACGGCATTTTTAGTTGATCCCTAACGCGGTTCAGCAGGGTGTAGCGGTCCCACTGACTTCTATATAAGGTCTTTTGCCTAATATTATAAATATTAAATATCCTAAGGTCTTTAATATTTTTATAATACAGATCCCCTTCCTAATGATAAACGCACATCGCCATAATTAGGCAATATTTATGTATACACAGTTTGTTATTATTTTATGTTTATAAGTCGTTCCTTTAACTACGAGCTAGCTAGGCGTACTAATCACCCGCTGGTGAGTGAACTTACGAGCCATGATACGGGGCTCTTTATCGCCGCCAACGTGACGAGCGTTAACGCTAGTCTTTGTTTGTTAAATATCAAGAAAATAATGACAACTTTTCGATTGAAAGCTATTATGTAACATGTCTGCGATCACTCCTGATTGAGAGCTTGAGTATTCGATGTTTTTTGACTGAAAGAGCACCAGGAACTTGCATTTATAAATAAAAAACAAAAGTTGTTCAAATCGAAAAGGAATAATTTTTATTGCCCTTTAACTACTTTGTTTTACATAGATTATTTTGTTCGTTTTTTTTTTTATAATTAATTTACATTAATTTACAAACCTGACCCTCTGTTTGTGAAGGCGTGTTAGTAGAAAGTAGCGCTGACCTCGGTAAACTCTTAGAAAACGTTTAACTTCCTCAGCAATGCATTTCTTTAATCATATTTTAATTATTTTTTATTTATCTATTTTATTATAATTACCATTAATTTTATTATTATTACATTAATTTAGTTTTAATACTATTTTTCTTTATTCATTTTTATTATTTCATTTTTTTTCTCTTATTTTCTTTCCTCCCGTGGGACTCATTTCTACTTGCAGCGAACTAAGAACTTATCATCACTTTGTTGGCCCAACCAAAGAACTTAAGAAGGAGCTAGAAGTTTTAAAAACAGAAGTACAGAAGTATGAAAAGAAATAGTTATGAAAAATTTATCAAAAGACGGAAGGAAACTGTTGAGGTAAATAATAACATAGCTACTACCAATTTTAACCAATATACCGTTCTTCAATTTCGGAAACCTCGGAAACGTATGAAAGAGATATATTAGAAGATAGCGAAATGTTGGATATCGTCATAGACCAATACTTTTAATATTGCTAAGTCTAATAAGAATAATGACCCCAAATTTTAGTAAAAAAATTTGTACAAATAGTAGAA